CCTGCATCCCGGGGATTGCCGGGACCACCGATGGGATCCTGCATCCCAGGGATTGCAGGTACCCTCCACTCTCTTTCACTATGGTTAATTATAAACTTACACAGACACACATGCACATGTGATTCCTTCACCTGCTTCCAGGACAAGCTGATTGCCACAGATACCTATTCATCACTTTACTTTCTCAACTTCTTAAATGCTTGAAGTAATCCAATCTGATCTTCAGGTGTCTGCAGGATGCAAAAAACTTGGAGAGGAACAAGCACTCAACTTTGCCACTAATACCTTCTCACTTTTGCTAAAGATGATACAAACCCTCTGCCCCCATCCTGTCTGTGCCAGCAGTGCCAGGCACAGCACTGGCTTGGGCACAGGCCAACCATGTACTGTGACACAACTCATGGGCTGTCACCTCCCTTCAGAGCATCTTCGTCCTTGTGCCCATTCCCTGCCCCACCGTCCTCATCTCACATTACCAGCTTTGTATTGAGCAGTGTCCACCAGGCCAGAAACTTGATTTTCAGTAAGCTGAAAAACTGCATTGACTTCAGTATTGGGAAGCAGGTACTGAAACCTGGTCTGCTACAACTTTGTGTCTTGTTTTGAGTGACGTTTTGAAGAAGTTACAAACTTCGACTGAAAAATTTAGCATTGCTGAGGCATTTATAATGCTGCTGTTTGGCATGGATTCCTCGTGGCAGGCAGAGAGGCCACACTGTGGCACTTACCCCAGAAAAGAAATTCTCCCTTTCTGTTTGGAGGTGCCGGTGAGCCCGCAGGGCAGGCCAGGTCTGGCTCCCAGCACTGCAGAGCTCAGGGCAGGCAGAACCACCACAGGCACCAGACCCAAGTGCAAACTGTGTGTGCTGCAGAGCTGGGAGGAAGGTTGGAGAAGAGGCAGGGCTTGCAGCCCCTGGTTCTTTTGCAAGCTAACACGAGAAGCCCACACATGATTTCTCTCCTGCATTCAATACACAGTTTCACAGACCTTACAGGAACTTAACTCTCTCTTTTGGAGCCTTCTATCCCCTCTGCGTAATTTCAGAGAAAAATTAATTACAATGTTATTAGTGAGGGCTCTCACAGACACAGTGTTTGACTGCACAAGTCTTGCTTCTCCAGAAAAGCAGGCTGAAGCCAGACTTACACAGGTTTACACTAGCTGAACCTACTGACTTCTCTTTGTCCTGTATGTCTACTCATATATGTAACAGAAAGTTATATCCTTTTATTTCAGCACCCTCCTTGTTTATATGATTAAGTTTTTATCTGGTAATAGATACAGGGCTGAGTTTTCTATAGCTATGATTAGCAGTAAGCAGTGAGAGTGCTTGTGAGAAAGAATTGTCAGGGCAGACTTGAACTGTTCAGCTGGTTACCCAAGTGAATATTTGCTTTGGAGAAACCAGCTTGTTTTCCTAAGATTATGATGATTATTAAATTTTGTATTTATTTACCACCGACCATTTTCTAGATATTTAAGAAGTAATCAGAAGCAAAGACTTGATCCTTTTCCATGTGCAGACCTTGTTAAAGAACTATTGTTCCCTTTAAAGCTAAACAACTGACCTGTATTTTTTAAATTATAAAGCTTGTTCCTCTGAGTATGTTGTGCCTGATACAAGCAAGTGTATACTAATAAAATTTTATATTTATTCAAAGGCTCACTTGGGGGTAGTAATAAATATTGGTTACTATTGTAGTTTTGTTGATAAATTAAATACAGTATGCTAAATATAGAACTGTGTTTCTTTAAGGGGATTCCTGTCCATAA